ACTTTACAAGGCGAGGCGCAAGATTGGTTCTACACCCTGCCGCCACAATCCATCCGGGATTTCTACGAACTTTATTTGGTTTTCACCAAAGAATATTCATCCTATCGCTCAATCAAAAAGAAGTCTGATCATTTGTTCAACGTCAAGAAGAACCCAAAGGAGTCGCTTCGCGATTATGTGAGGAGGTTCAAAGTAGAAAAGGCAAAAATAGTCGGATGCAACGACTCGATAGCTAGAGCAGCCTTCCAAAAAGGACTTCCAGCAGACCACCCGCTATTCGGAAAGTTGATCATGAAAGAAGATCTAACTCTGGCAGACTCTTTTGCTTTGGCAGAGAAGTATGCACTTTGGGATGAGGCTCGCCAATGCACATTCAAGGACTTGAAGAAGTACCCGACATCACCTCCCTAGAAGCAGCGGAGGACTTATTCACATGTTTGACATTATCTAAAGTAGCAATAAGCTCTACCATCATGCGAGAAGAGATGGGGGCCCGACTACCTGTATTCCACAGTTACCTGTATTCTACAGTTCAAAAGCTCTCATCGATGTTATTAAAAATTCAAAAGTTAACTTTGGCGATAGTTGTTGCAACCTAGAAGCACAAATTTTACTTTCAAACGCATGCAATCATCTTAATGACGTACTATTCTGCCCAATCCAGACGCGCGACGATAAAGGCGTAGACCCTGGCGGATGTAAAGTTTTCTGACGAACGTAACACTGAAAAGACACACTTGAAAGCAAGTTTTGTCCTCGTCACCCTGAAAGATTCTACATAGGAGCAACATGTAACGGCAGTTGAGTACCATTTCTTGCTGCGCATCACACGGCCCTAGCCGACCCTTGCTCAATGATTCAACTCTAGAGTGGCCCAATACCGGCAGTTGAGCATCTCCTGTTGCGTATGACATGGCCCCATCTCCACAGCTCCCTACTGCGCCTTCACGCCGAGCCTATGTGACGCAACAGAGCGGCCCAACGATGCCTCAGAAGTAGCCGAGCACACTCTAGCTGCGCCTACTCCACCCGATGGAGACTTCTGGCATTTGCATGTCGACGGCGCAGAAAAGCCTTCATCACTGCCGGCAGAGAAGGCTCCAAAAAGATGGATCCCATCTGGGAAGGTCCGTACAAAATCAGCAGAGTAGGGGGCAAGAGTAATTACACCCTCACCACCATGAAGCGGCAAAAAGATTGAAAAAAAAAATGGATGGCCTACAATCTGAAGAAAAATACCATGTGTGACCTCCCGCTACACATCAAAACCCGAAGACTCAATAAGCTCGACGGGCACCACCTCACAAGCTGAGGACTATCCAGTTGTTATGCAGTTCCTACCTTACAGCTAAAGTTTCTCGTTCGTTTCACTCGTTTTTCAATGAGGAATTTAGAAGTAATCACAACTTGGCTTGGCTGCATGCTTACAACAACTAATCACTCTTGCACTTCAAAAGAAGACTGCACCCTTCTTAGGGACTCATCGCAGGAATTGCGCCCCCCGAGGGACCAACCATGCTCTCCAGTACGAGAGGGTAAACCAATTCTCCGACACCCATATGGGTCAGCTCTCCAAGACGGGAGGATAAACTTTACACTCCGAATATCCAGACGTGGATGAGCCTGGCTGCCCTAGTATAACTAGATGCACGATGGCTTGCGCCGGGATTCCTAGAAGTAGCCGCAATGGTCTTTTTCAAGGTTTAGCTAACTGAAGGATTTTGGGTCTCTTGGCCTAATCCGTGGGGAAACGGGCCCTAGAGACGGAGAGGGCACATTACGCAGTACATCCGATGGACGGCTGCCCTGGAATCCTAAAGCTGCTACCGAGTGCACTAAGGTAGCCTACGGATTCTGGAAGACTGCCTACGGTTTGCCCTTCGAGCAGTGAAGCCGCACTAGACTTATACAACCGCACATTCTTGTGAAAGGTTAGACAAGCTAGCGCGCATATACGAAGTTTTATCCACTGCCGACATGCTACGTAGTCGATAAGCTTCACCTCTGCCAAGCGCGGAACAACCTACACCAAGTCCTAAAGTGTTGTGATACTTGCTACGCAACCTACGGAATTGAAGAAAGTCAAAGTTAACAGCCTAGTGGTTACGCGGACTTGTCTGCTTCTGTAAGTAAGGCATCCGGCTGCCAACCCTATGGCTAACAACTTGGCAAAGTTCTACACCAACACCTACGGCTGCATAGGCTACGCGAGTTTGTCTGCTTATAAAAAAGTAGCATGCCTGCCACTGGTCTATCAAGTCTAAAGGTTAGGGCATGAACAAAAGAAGTGAAGATGAAGAAAAATGAAGGAAAACATGTTTATAAACAACTAGCAAAGGTTGAAGGAGTTCAAGCAAAACAAAAGCTACAAGGAAAAACAAAGAAAATCCTAAAGGCTACCTAAAATACTACACTACAGCAGCTTGGACATTCCACGACTACTCGGTCGCCACACCTTCAACAGCCGTAACGCTCTTAGCAGCGGCATCATCCGGCGCTTCACCCCCGGCTGCCCCAGTCCGGGCACTAACTTCTCCAACTACTTCACCAATGGAAGCCTTAAAAGTAAAAGCAAGCAAGTCTTCCGGAGAAATAGAGAAGCTCATCCACTCTCTTCTTAGCATAAGTAGCGAAACGAAGCTCAGAAATTGCAAGCTTAAGATCTTGAATCTGAGGCGAATCAATCTCAGCAACAAAGGGAGCAGGCTTTGGCGCCACTTTAGCAGCAGAGTCCACCTTACCACTCTTCATAATAGCAAGTCTCTACAAAGGTGAACCGGACTTGGCTCCCAAAGAACGTCCTGGTACAGACTTCGGCACTAGGGGCATGATAAAACCTTTACGCTGAGTAATCTTATCCACAATTGTACTAGCCATTCTCAACATGGAAGACACCACATGCTCAGATCTAGCAGCCTTACATTTCTTCCCATTGGAAAATCATGTCAATCACATACCTCTCGGTAGCAAGCGGACCCTCATGAGCAGCAGAAGAAGTCTTCAGTTTTTTCTTAACTGGCATCTCATGAGCAGGCGGGGAAGATCTCTTCTTTCCATCTTCATTCATAGTAAGCTCCACGACAGCAATCAGACGAGCCAATGCATCCGCCTTGATCCTCTTTACCTCCTCTTTCTGGAGCAGCCCACCTTTCTTTCGGCAAAGAGGACTAAGCAGCCAACGACATTCATGGTACTCAGCAGATGAGCTCAACCCAGCATTCCAACAAGCAGGAGGCCTGCATGCCCAACATTCCAGCAGCCCATGAGACCCGCAATCTCCTTATTTCTCTCAATCACCAGCCTGGCCCGAGTCAGGTCCAAGAGCCCAAAGGACATGAGCCATGCGGCTCGCCTAGCACTGCGCCCCAGCGCCACAATCCGCGACCCTAGTTGCACAAGCTGCCTTTTGGCTCAAGCCAAGCCAAGCTGCCCAAGCAGTGGTCCCTGCCACAACATCTCCTCGGCCCATGCCGAGCCAACTCCTGGCCCCTGCCAGCCGATGTGCCGCACCACCCCGACGGCTGCCCCGCAATAGCACTATCCAAGAATAAGGCAAGAAAAATTAAATTTTTCTTACATCGGTGCGGCACGAAGAAGACGAAGAAAGCAACGAAAGACGGTCCTTTGCACGGGCAAGATGTAGAAGATTGCTAGAGGAGGGGGAACAAATATCCTCTAAGCTATCTCTCTCTTGTAGGGTAGAATAAATCGCTCTCCAAAGTTGATTTAATAACCCACTTAAGGTGGACTTAAATAGGCTTTGAGAGAAATTTATTTCCCTTTCCTAGAAGGATCTAATTTCCTATTAAAGAGAGAATCAACATCAAAATAGGAAGCAGTCTTAAGTTTCCTAAAGCAAGAAGATCTCTACACCTGCTGCCCTTTTTTTGCGAGCAGCCCAACAGGTGTGGGGGCATTTGTGGAGCCAAAAATATTCACTAGGCGACACGTGGAGTTTTGGACAAAAGAGAACAAAAATACCCTTGAGGCATACCAGGATTCCTACGCGCAAGTAGAGGGTAATCATCCTCAACCAAGTCAAAAATGCTCCAGAAGAGGTAACCAATTCCAAATTATCTTATTTTAGGTAATTATTTCCAAAATTTAATTTTCCTAATATATTATTTATCTAAAATAATATATTCTTCCCATATCTCCTAAAATCATCCTTTAATATCAATTTGAAACATCCATTCAAACCTAAAAAATAGAATAGGGCCGGCTACCCCATTCAAAACCTAATACATCACCTTTTTTTCTACCTTTTCCATCATCTCTTCCCTTTTATTAGCCAATTAACACCATAAAGCACAAAAACATTTCCTTTCATATTTAATTAGCCAATTAATTGGCTAATTAAACCTAAAATAAACCCTAAAATCCCACCTAGTAGACCGGCCACATTCCCTCTCTTTGCTCCACACCTTTTCAAATTTCTTCCACTATATTAGCCAAATAATGCTAGTCATTCAATTGGGTAACTTCCCATTTATTTCTATTATATTTTATTAGCCAATAAAGTGGCTAATAAAACCACAAAATTCATCCCAAAGCACATGAAAAGGGCCGGCCATTTCTTGAAGATGTGGACCAATTTGGTCCTATAAATAGTCACCCATTTTTACCAAACACTCAGGCCAAACCTCTTGCAAAAATTCCAAAACACTCTAAACACTATTTCTCTCTAAATTTCTAACTTTGGCATCGGAGGTTCTTCGGCCTAAGCCCCCCCCATTCATCGTGGGCGCGTGAGGCTTTTGGCCTTAACCTAAGGTGCTAGTTGTTTTGTAGGTGCAAAATCGTCCAAGATCGAAGAGGAGAAAATTTGCATCCACAAATACATACACACTTTGTTGAACTTAAATCTCCACACACGAGGACTCCAATTAAGACGGATTATCAGGACTTGTAGAAATCATACTAAGACATGGCTTGAAGATAATATAGAAAATTGACACAAGATTCAAACAATGCAGAAAGAAACCGACTCGTAAAATTACCTCCCTCTGGCAGATCTGAGGTCCACAATGTGAGATTATCTTTGAGAAGCTGCATAATGAGGGTGCTGTCCTTGCTAGATTCTTGGTCGATGCTGTCAAGTTCGGCAAAAGTCTCATCAAATGCCTTCTTAGCTAGATGACACGCCCTGCACGGTGCAATGTTGCAAATGGAACATAAAAGTGGTGACTCGATGTTGTAAAAGTAAACACTGTGTAAAAATAATTGGAAGGAGGCATGCAAGTGGGGCAGAAAGAGGAAGATTAGGGAAACCTCTCCGGGGAGTTGAGAATTTCATAGTAAAAAACAGAGAAGTTTAGAGCCAGGCCGAGCCTGATTGGATGTGTTGGGGGCAACTCAGAGGCAGCAGTATCAACCGCAGTCTGCAGCACAAATGTAAATTGCGTTATGATCTAGTTATTGGTACGTGAATATAACATGACAATGAAAAGAAATTGTAAACATGATAGGGGAAGAAGACATCCAGCAAGGAAGCGGAATCAAAGCATACCAAATAGGCTTTAAGCGAGTGATCAGCAGCTTGTTTGCGATCATCACCAGATTTGAATTCAGCTAGATATCGATAGTAATCTCCTTTCCTGTCACACAACAACAAGGGTCACAAGTCAAATCTCTCTCCCACACATGCCGTATTGTTGCCAAAGAAAACCGCAACATTACTTTGCATTGTGATAGTCTGTCAAAAGGAATAGGCAATGAAGCGAAGATCCTCCGAACATAATGCACGCGAAAAGTAACCAAAGGTAAGAAATTCATAACGAAATAGTTGCTCTCACATCTTATGGTAAAAAACAGTAGATTCCCCAGTGGACGAAGAGGGGAGAAGGTGATAATCAACAACTGTTAGTATGTCATGGCAAATTTTCGCAAGCTCGTCTTCAACCCTCTGCCTGTACTCCTTTATCCTCTTCACATTTTGTTCACCACCCTTGGCCTCTTCCTTTTGTTCAATGGAAGACAGTATCCGCCATGACGCCCTTCTTGCCCCGATCACACTCTTATACCCAACTGACAACAAATTTCGCTCCTCCACGCTCAATTCCACATCCAACTTGGCAACTTTCTTCATTTCTTCAATCATCTCTGAAACAAGAAAAATGAAATATAATTAATTTGTATTATGCAAGTGTAGTACTGACCCAAAAACAGAAAATTATTTGCGCCACTGCCACCGCAGATGACCAAAACTCAAATCAGCAACTTTCCGGAAAATTTGTTGCAAAAATGATAAGACCAATACCCTATTTCCATTAAATTTCAGATGATATTACACATGCCACACACAAACCAAATAAATGGTACTGAATTGAGTCTCAGAATGAACAGGTGATCGAGGACGGGGTACGACATGTATCGCAATCAAAGAATGTTTAACATAGCCAGTTTTGCTTGTAAACAACTGGAAATTTAATTTCTGCTTACGAACACCTATTATATATGTAATCACTCTTCCATTTCCTCTCTTTTCCGGATCAAAAAACCAAACCAGGCAAAGCTATCAAGGATCAAGCCGGAAACTTGAGATAATCATTGTTATAGGATCAAACACGCGCAGTAATTAACTTGGTCTAGTTATGATGCAAACTTAGATGCTCCTTGTGTAAAACTCATAACTTGGTCTGGTATTCCAAAAGCCATGAGAATATAACAAACACTTCACGCCACCACAAATCACAAAAGTAAGAAGGGTCCATGCAAGAAGAACATACCGTCGTATCTTTCGGCTTGCTCGGCAAGTTTCGCCTGGTAAGCATGCTTCTCTCTCTCTATCTCCATAGCCTTTCTCTCTGAAACTCTGGTTTTGGCAACTAATAAAAATTCTGCAACTAAATAATATGCTCTAGCTCTACTTATATATATCTCGTCACAACCCTCCGTCTATCTCTTTCATCACATGACGATTCAAATAGTTCAACCGAGAGACCGTTGGATATGGTTAGTGGACAGGTACTAGGATCAATGGTCTGAAATGGTTGTGGATTTTCCTCAGAGGGCGAGATAAGGGCCGGTGATGGAATTAGATTCGAACGTGGATCACATGGAGCAACGTGGTTGGGTGCGTTATTGAACGGGGCGACCACTGATGGGTGTTTGATGTTGGAAAGGATGAGAGTGGTGAGTGGTGCACTGCAAGTGGGCTCCATTTTGTATATATGCTTACATGTCATGTCAACTCCTTTTCATTACGGTTTTCACCAAGAGAGATCTCTACGCAAGGGTGCCTACCAAGAAATGACTTATCTTGGTAAGAGTAAAATTTGTATTGAATCATTGCAATGCTAGCCACAAATTCAATTTTTGCTGTAATTTTTCGTCCTCCAATTCGCTTTCTTGTTCATCTTCCTCAATTTCTTCATCCCCTATTTCCCCCTCAATGTCTTCCTCCTCCAACAAGGCTTCCTAGATTATTTCATTACCCCCATTCATATTTGAGACATTATATGTATAGAATCACCTAAGAAAAATACATGAATATAAATATTAAAAGGTTAACAACCTGCATATCTTAAGGTATTTCTCTTCACTTGAGAGTGAGAGGTTTTTGGTTCGATTCTCGTCAAAGGCGAATTTGAACCACATTAATGTTAGTCCATTGTGAGGTTTAGGGCTCTCCCACCCTATTAGTGTAAATAATATCGTTTATAAAAAAAATATATTTGAATATAAATCCATAAAATAAAAGTTTGTAACTTGAAATTGAATATAGCATATGAAAATAGAATATTTATGAGAGATGAAATGAAATCAAGGTTTTAAAAGACGCTAGCCGCTAGTTGGGTGGCGGGACTTAGGCAGGCGGCTAGGCGAACTTAGGCGGGCGGTTAGGTGGACTAGGTGGATTTAAGTAAATTTATTATATTTCGTGTAAATAAGTGTCTGTTTATACTTAAAATATATATAAACTACAAAATAGAATGACATATATATTATGAAGTAATGGAACATAATGAAAATATGGGGAACAAACATATAATATGTGTTCATTTAAGTATTCAACAAGTCTCTTACAATTTATTGAAAAAAAAAAAATGCAAAATTAAATTTATCTATTTTTTATCTATATGATTTGCAATTTAAGCGGATTTAGACGGGCTAGACAGATGCTAGGCGGTTTAGGTGGGCACCTTAGCATGTTTAGGCTGCCTAACGCCTAGGCACAGTTTAGACAGAGCTTTTTAGAACAATGAATGAAATCATTGAAGCTGAAAAAAAAACCCCGGCCCTCCAACCCAGGCCCAACAGAACCCGCTAAAAGGAACATTTCACATTCCAAACCTTAGTGGCTCATCGGTGAGAAAGCAGATTTCCCGCCACAAAATCGCTCAAGAAAAAGGGGATTAGGGTTTCAGATTGAAGGCAAAATCCCCAAATTCCCTCCATCATGTCACAACCAGTTGTAGATCTCTCTCAATTCGACATATCCAAAGAGGTAAGAACGCACTCGCACACTTTCAATTCCAGTCTTCGTCTCGGATTCCCCAAATTTCAGAAGAAGAAAAAATCTCCGATTTTTCGTTTTCGGTATTTATTTTTCTCAGGAAAAGGACAAGCTTGTAGCGGAAGTAATCCGATACGTGCTGTTCAAGACGCACCACAGCTCGGGGTGTCCGATAAAGAGGGAAGAGCTCACCCAGCTGCTCACCAAGAACTACCGCCAGCGCAATCTTCCTACTTTCATCATCAACGAGGCCGTACAGAAGTTGTCCTCCATTTTCGGGTACGAAATGCGGGAGCTTCAGAGGTCTCGTCCTTCTTCCGCTAATCAGGGACGCATTTCGCAACAGAGTAAGATTCTTTACCTTCGAAATTTCGATGGTTATGTTTCTAATTAAGCTCAAGGTTCAAAATTTTATTTGAATTGTAATTCTGTTGTGATTTGTTCTGGTCCGAGTATGGTAGGATCCATATGAGCCAGTATTGGCCAAACCATACATCATGGAAATTGAGGTTTCCTAAATTGCAGGAAATGTGGGTTTCTCGATTGTAGGTTATATGTTCCCTTTTGATACAAGTTCAATTGTCATTTTACGCTGTACCCATCATTCCTTAGTAATTTCGAGGATTCCGGTTTTGACAGTAGTTTATGAACACATTATTCAGGTGCTGCGGAGGCAAAATCCTATATCATCACGAGTAAGCTACCTTCTGATGTGTATAAGAAGTATGTCTTGAACGACAATGATAGTACGGTTCCTCTCAATGGTTTCACTTTTGTCGTACTGAGTCTTGTACATATTTCCGGCGGTAAAATGACTGAAGGTATGGCTGCCTTTTGGTTTTATTTTATAGTTTTATGTTTACAAGCTAATCTTTTGCGAAAGGAAAGATGCTAGGAGAGCTGGCAGAACAATTTAGTTGGGAAATTGCTTATATATAAGCCAAATTCTTTTTTTTTTTTTTTGGTAAACTATAAGCCAAATTCTTTGATGAATGTACTATTATACATATTCGGTGATCTGCTTGCTTAATGGGCTCTTCCACATCTGGTATAATGAGATTGTGTAGCAAAGTGCATGGATCAGACATCACCACATATTGTCTTTAAAATGCTAAAAACCAATGTGGGCAATTATTTATTTTCTGTTACCTTGTGTTGTGTTGTGAGACAACCAACTTTTGCTGTCCTGGTGGAACTGCAGAGGATCTTTGGCGTAATTTGAGACGAATGGGATTGGACGAAAGCAATGAAAACCATCCAGTCCTAGGAAACATAAAGCAAGCACTGGACACACTTGTCCAGCAAAGGTTTGGCTTTATTCGCTGTGAGATAAGGCTTTGTTGTTGTTGTTTGTATCTGTAGGTATCTATCTCAAGTATTGTTCTTCATTTTAGATATTTGCAGAAAGACAAAGTAAGTGGACCTGAAGGCAATACTTTGTTTTATGAGCTTGCGGAGAGAGCTTTAGATGCACCAATTAGTGAGAGCACAAAAGCACACATATCAGAGGTATGATTTAGAGATCAATTATTCATGATTAAGTATCTTGTGCAGCTAAAAGTAAGTTCTGTTTGGAGTGTATATATATCTCCCCTCAACAGAGAAAAAGTATATTTGGAAACTTACTCATGTCAACTTGCATGGTTTTCAAATTGGTGAACATTTTTGTCGTCTATTTTGGGAATTCATAGAGTTGTTAGAGGTTCAATTTTTTGCGTCTCCACTCATTTAATTCAAAGTGTAAACTGTACACAGACACGAAAGTTGAAAGGTTGTGCAAGGTTGAACTGTAGACAAAGTAACACAATGAACAGTATAGAGAGTTCATGAAGATTGCAAAGAAACAAAACGTTAAGTTTGCATTTAAGGAAGGTTAAGAAAGTACACATTGGTTCTCTATCCTAGAATAAAGATTGGTCTTACCAGAGTTGACAGCGCAGAGAGTGACTGAGCCTGTCATATGGATGAGGAGGGGTCCTGTAGTTTAGAAGGGAGAGGAAGCTGAGGAGTCTAAGAATAGGAATAAATTATACAAGCAGTTCTATATAGAAAATGAGGAAATACTATGTTTTTGAGAATAAAGAACTAGAAGAAAATATAAGTGCCCGTTTGGTATCCTACCAAAAACTTTGATTGTTCCTAAAAATAATTTTCAAATAACATCACTAAAAACAGTTTTCTTTTAAATCTCAAAATTTCAAAAATCTGTTTGGTTGAGTTTTTAAAAATAAATTTTTTAGTTTGAATTCAAACTACCTTGAGCAGAAATTGGAGGAGAGAAAGACAGGGAGAGGGTGAGGAGGTGAGGGAGAGAGCAAAAAATTACGGTGAGAAAGTGAGGAGTGAGAAGAAAGAGAGGTGATGAGACAAAGGTTGAGGAGAGAGAGAGAAGACAGGGTGTGATATGGGGGGAGAGGAAAGAGAGGGTTAGGAGAGAAGAAAGAAAGGGTTAGGAGAGAGAGCAAAAAAAAAGATGTTGAGGAGAAAGCAGAAAAAACTCTAAAAACTCACTTTTAGTGTTTTTAAGAAATAGCTTATGTTTTTAAGTTAGTTTTGAATTCAATTTTTAAAAAGAGTCCTACCAAACAAGAATTCAACGCCTAAAACTCAAAAAGTGTTTTTCAGTTAAAAAAGTTGAACTCAAATAGGATACCAAACAAGCCCTAAGGAACTGTAAGAGGTTGCAAGAGTATGGTAGAAACTATGAGTGTCAAACTAGTAGGAGATTATAATTACTCCGAAAACCCTAGAGACAAGTATGCATTGCAGATGAAACATTCTCTAAATTCATCCATATACCAAAAGAAAGTAGTAAAAGTATAGAAGACGATAAAAGGTAAAAGATATTAAAGACCATTTGAAAGAACATTTTTCCGAGGGTGCTGCCACTTATTTTGCAAATATTGCTCTGGGGAATTAGCTCGGGAGAAAGTCTTGTTCGGCGGTTTTGTTGCTTTGTTGCAGAAAAAAAAAATTCATAGTTGTGTGATTTGTACTAAAAGCTCAGAGCTTTCCCTGTCTAAATCTAATTATTTATGTCCAGTGAAATTCATTTGCTTAGTTTCTGCAAACCTGAAGTCTTGATTATGCTATGCTATGTATTTGTATGCATCTATTATTGCAGATTGTGAACAAAGAGGTTGTCTCCGTGGATGTCGACGACTAGCGGCGGGCTGCCAACTTGGATATGACTATCAAAGTTTTAGTTTGATGGTTCCATCTTGCCGCCATATGACTTTTCTCTAGTTTTAAGGAAGCTTATAATGCCAATAGATGTATTCCATTTTTGGGTCTTGTATGAACTGACAAATGATAATGATATGTTTAGATTTCATTATGTTAAATCTTCATCTAGGACTTATATTGCGTTAGATTTGTTTTTTTCTGAAAGAAATGCCGCTGATGAAGTTTAGATACGGGGCAGTCGGCACTCCAAAAATCTCTTTATAAGCGAATGAATCACTGAAGCAATATATTAGTTGTAAGAGAATGTTAACTAGTTTGGAAAGTGCTTCTAAATGACTAACTGCTTTTAGAGAAACTGTTTTTGGATTTCAAAAGCACTTGCAAGAAGCACTTCAAGTGTTTTTTAAGAATTAACTTGCATTTTTACTAAGGATTGGCTCTAAAAATATTTTCTTTAAAAGTGTTTTCAGTCACTTACAAGCATTTCCTAGATGAGCCTGTATCTCCGATTTATGCCTACCAGTTAACAAATTTGGGTTCTGCTTCTAGTAATTATGTAGACGAAAATATCTCATATTAGCACCCACCATTGACGCCATCGGCCTCCGCTCAAAGAATAGAATACGAAAAAATATGTATTTACTAATTAGTGAGAACATTAAAGCACACATATTGACCATTTGAGATGTCAAAAATACTACATAGACACGTAATGGTAACAAATGATGTACCGTTTATTTAAACCGAGATGTCAAAGATAACATGGAAAAGAAGGCTAAGAGCATCTCCAAATGTCCAAATCAGCAATAGCGGTAACAAAACACAACATTAATATTTTCCATCCGAGAAGCCAAATCTAATGTGGCATGACATGGATTGACATCTTTCCCCCTTACTGCCAAAGTTTAAAACATGCCAAAGTGCCACGTAAGCCTTCAAATTTAAATTTTAGGTAAATTTCACATCTCCTTTGGAGATGGTCTAAGCGGATATGGACAAAAAGATATTTGAAGCTACCTTCAAATTTGATTTTTGCTATTTCCAAAGACATTTCACTTGCCTTACTTTAAATGCTAGCATATTTAAGTATTATTTTATTATTTTTAAATCAATAACAACCCAAATTTTATTATTTTTGTTTTAAGAAAAACATAAATGAAGCAATAAATTTTGTCATATTAGGTGGAAGGAAAACATTGACAATATGTCAAATTACCAAGTCAGCCACCAAATTTAAATTTGATGTTTTGAATTTAACATCTCTTTTGGAAATTCTCTTTTTATAGGTATCATTTTAGAAATCAATTAGGTATGGTTTTATAATTTGATCATGATTATTTTCGAAAATTTCCTCTGCCAACTTGAATGTTTTTTTAATTGTTGAACATTTTGTCCTCTTTGTGTCAATTCATAAAATTCTTAAAATATTCATGTTTCTCGGGTCTCCACTCAATATTGACTTTGTAAATAATAATTGAGTGACGACACAAATAAAGCTGACTTAAACAACCAAAAAGCTCTACGTCGAACTTCAACTCCTTTGAGTTGGCCGCTGTGTAAAGGCCTTTGACACCCCACACCATTGCGGCAAGAGGGGGCTTGCCCATCAGCCTTGCTACTTTGCCAAGAATTCTAAAACCACGGAACCAACTGGTTTAACATACGGAGCAGGTTTCTTTAAAAAACAAAGAAAGTAAACTAGGTCTTTAAATTCATACGATAAATCCAAAAGATTATTGTAGTATCAATATCCATAAAACACAATGATAAAAGAGGTTCTAAGTGCTAACCTCGCCCTAAAAACAAAATCTAACTCCACTAGGTAAACATGCAAAAACGAAACGAAATAAAAGAACACCCTCACATCCTAAAGAAACTTAAAGAGTAACACTCTAGTCTTAAACATCTAAAGAACCAAGGAAGTCCTTTGTTTCCGAAAGCTCTCTGATTTCCACACAAGTGTGCGTTGCTAGATGCTTGCGATTGTTGGCCGTTGCCGCATCTTCTTCAACTTTCGTTGGCATAAAATTGTAGTAAGAAGTGTTCTTCACCTTCATGTTGGCCTTTGCCTTCTCTACTTCAGCTTTGGTTGGCATAAAATTGTAGGGAATGTTGTTATTAGCCATGAGAGTTGAAGACTTCTTAATCTTTCTTTCGTTGTGGATGATCGAAGCTTTGATGGTTGAACATTAAGGTTGTGTTTCGGAATTTATAGTGATCTATGCATGCTATGTAACAGGAAATTTAGACTATCTTTATTTATTTATTTATTTTGCTATCTTGATAGATTTTCAAAGACATGTAAAGAGAAGTTTTTTGCACGGAGGTATTAAACTTTTCGTTACTTTTACTTTTTACTAATATCTAAAAATATAGAACCGGTGGATTGAAGAGGAAGACATAAGTACTGGCTTACTAATATATTTTGGTGATATGTATCTTATGACGTGGATTCTATACACAAATGGCATGAATATTCGCAGTGAATGGAACAACCTATGGCTAGTTATTTGATATCATTTATGCCTACCAATTACCAAATTTGGGTATTGATTCTGGTAACCCTATATAGGATACGATTTTATGTTAGCAAGAGCTCACATGTCGATCAACTTTTGAATTGACCACCTTATACACATCACTCAAAGTTTTAATCATTCAGTTTGTTAAGGAAAGAACTTGGCTGCTGAAAAAATCAGCAGTAGTTCCTACTCGTCACCAATCATAGATGAACACGTGTTCAATTTATGATTAAAAAATTAATTACTTGAACACGTGTCTATCTGTAATTGATGAGGAGCAGGAATTGCTGCTGATTTTTCAGCAGCCAAGTTTCGTTCGTTTGTTAATACTACGCTAACTATATTTGAGGGACAAAATCTATCTTGTAAATTTGCAATATTTAATACAATTTCCTATTTGAATAAATATTTGCTATGATCTGCAAATGAGAACCTAAAATATATATGATACAGATCATGAGATTATTTTCTGAAGAGAGTATAGACGAGAAGTTAACATCCTAGTTAGCATTCCAGCACTCCTATAAGATGAGAGTTAAACTTTATAGGGAGTTTGTAAAACAACATTTTAGGATACTGTTATTGGCACTTTAGAAGTTTGAGTATAAAATTTCTATACAACAACCAAGTCTAATTCTACTAAGTGGGGTTGGCTGTATGAATTCTTGAATACCATTGTGCTCAGTTTTGTGTCAAGTCTTCCATTAGCTTCATGTACTTCATATATTTTCTTAAAGCCTCTTTCCACGTCTTCTTAGGTCTTCTTCTACCTTGTTTGTCATGAGACTCTATCTCATAATTGCATTTTTTTTAACCAGTCTTTGTTTGACATGTCCAAACCACCTTAATCGATTTTCTCTCATCTTATCTTCAATTGCGACCACTCCTACTTTACCTTGGATATCCTCATTCTTAATCATGTTCTTTCTCGTGTGCCCACACATCCAACAATGCATTCTCATCTCGCTGCACTCATATTTTGCACGTGTTGATACTTGACGACTCAACATTCCGTGTCGTAAAGCATTGATGGCTTATAAAAAAGTTCTTAAGCTTTAGTGACATACAACAGTTGCACAATACACTCAAATGCATTCTTCCACTACATCTATCCAACTTGTATTCTACAATGGGAACTTCATTCATTTCTCCGCTCTTTTACAAGATAGATCCAAGATAACAAACACGTTTGCTCTTTGGTACTTCAGAATCTCCAATCCTCATCCCTACCTCATTTGGACCCCCAACTTCCCACTAAACTTATCACTCCGTAGATTTTATTTTTGACCTACTTAGGCAATCATCTTGAATGCGTTTCTTTAACTCATCCATTACCAATGCGAAATGCTAAGAAGTTAAAGCTAAGTCTTGATCTAACCCTATGGTTATGAGAAAACTTTCAATTTGTCCTTCATGAGTTCTTACTGCATTCCTTACTCCATCATACATATCCTTTATTGCTTGGATATATGCTCTCGTATTTCTTTCTTCTCTAGAATCCTCCATAGAATTTCTCATGGGACCCTATCATACATTTTTTTTTCCCAAATTTATAAAGACCATGTGCAAATCCTTTTGCATATCTATCTATCATCTATTGACCTCCGTAAAAGATAGATTGCCTCCATAGTCAAGCGCTCTAGCATGAACTTGAATTGATTGTTTGAGACCCGTATCTCTTGCCTTAGTCTGTACTCAATTACTCTCTCCCAAAGCTTCATGGAACGACTTATTAATTTAGGACCCCTATAGTTCATGCAATTTTGTATGTCACTCTTACTCTTGTACATAGGCACCAAAGTGCTTGTTCGCCACTTATTTTGCATCTTCGTTTTTAACCTATGCCATGCTATACTCGTCTCTCCCAAGACCTTCCACACTCCAAACTTTCTATACTACAAAATATATACATACCGACGAGTGCACAATAAGTTTTTTAGAGCAAATAATCGCATGTATATTTTAAACTAAGAAGTGAGATATTAACTAACTCATACAATAAGTACGCCATAATAAGGTAAGATCAAACTCGTCATCCACAAACATAAACCTAATACTTCACAATTGAAGAATATTACTAGACAATAATAATGGTGGCATGTAACGAGGCGAGAGGTAGCCGTGCTAAAAAGAACAAAGGAGTCACCATAAAGCCTCCATAGATTAAGTGTATAACGTCAGAATAAATTGTGGCAGAAGGAAATGATGAATGCAACTGTGCTCTTGCTAATAATGGAGTCTGGATTCACAAACTGCATGTGTTTTCTGAGTGCTGCCAATCATTATTTTTAGCCTTTACCTACTTATGCTTTGCAATAACTTTAATTTAGTCCGGTCGAGAAATAAATGCGAAGGTGGGCACCAACTTCCATCAATCTCAACACTAATCAGAAATTTCTAAGCTACATGATACAACAATTCACTGTTCTAAGAATTTCCATCTAACCCTGCCTAGGAGTTAGGCGACTAGTTATCATTCCGATTAATTCCTAGACATTTGAAAATTAAAAAAGAGCACCTAGCAGCCTAAATCAATCTAGGTTGCAACTCTCACTTAGACAAAATAGATTAACTTTCATTTTGCACTTTCTTTTTTCAAAAAATTGTAAGAGACTTGTTAAATACTTCGATGAACA